CTGGTGATCACCATGTCCCGAACCTCGAATTGACTCGAACACCTCCAACGGTGGTGCTACCTACCTCACAATGGTGGGATGGCATTACTTTAAAGGACATTTACACAGACGAATTCCTTAGGGTAGGTAGACGACTCTTGATACTTGCTCTAATTTCAAAACAAATCCAAAATACTTTTCACACCAACACCTTTTCAAAAAGCTTTCGAAAGCAACTTTTCAAACACTCTTGAGGACCGATACAAGAGTCGAACTGGAATTTTCAAAGAAACTTTTTAAAACCCACAGTTGAAAAGCAAACAAACCATTTTTGAAAATACAAGTGAGCAAGTATCTAAGAGCCCATGGATAACCATGGATAGAAAGGGTGCTAACACCTTCCCTTTCTATAATCTACCTCCCGAACCGAGAGCAATCTCTATAAGGAATTTTTCCGTGCTTTTGTCCTTTCCATTTGGAGAAAATAAAAGACGGTGGCGACTCTTGCTTCTGCGACATTTCGCGAACCAGCGTTAAACAGTCAGTTCCAGATCCACCGATCACACAATTCACTGGAAATCTATGGTAAGAGGGGTGATCTATTATTATATTTGATATGGGGTTTATATGTATGTAAGTGTTTTGGGGTTTTTGGAATTTATTGATAACATGATGAATATGATGAAATTGGTGATATTTTGATGTTATAATGCTAAGTAATGATGTATGTGATTCTTGCAATGTTGTATTATTATGATGTTGTGAAACCATGATAATTTAGATGATTTTTGGGTCTGTTTTTGGTGTGAAATCGCAAAGGAATCAGGACTAGTTTTTGAAGAAAATCGCAACAGGAAAACCCTGTTCGCGCAGGATCGTCGGGCGATGAAGGGGCATCGCCAGGCGATGATGACTCACTTGGCCGTTACTGGGCGAGCCAAGGGGCGATGGAGGATAGAAATGGAGGAATTTACTGAAGTGTGTCGCTCCAGGCGTTGTTGGGCGATACTAGATGCGAAGGGTGTGTCGTCGGGCGATGGAAGTTGCGTCGCGGAACGAAGGTGTCCAGATTTGGATGGATGTGTCGGATTTTCTTGAGAGCGCCATAACTTGAGTTTTAGAACTCAGTTTGGAGTGCCGTTTTAAGTGTTGGATAGCTAAAACGATGTACTGTGGTTGGAAGGAATAAAATGAGGAATAAGAAGTAATTTCTCAAATACCTATATTTAGATAGGCTTAGATCCTTAAGGAGTAGTTTATAACAATATATGTTGCTATGATGAATTATTTATATTATAATGAAATAAATTCTATGATGAATTGCGAATACTATGATGATAAAATGTTGTATTTATGAAGTATTGAAATGATGTTGATGATTTTATGAATGTTGATGCGTTTGACTAGCCGTGGTCATTTTATATTTGTTGTTGCGCATCATACATTCATGACATATTTTGGACATCTTTGGTTCACCCATATTGAATTAGGACATTGGTCCAGTGTTGTTCTCAATCCCATTATGTGGATTGAGGGTATTGATGTTGTGCTCTGGTTCCAACAGGGAATCGATGCTATGATGGGGATCTTTGGAAGGAGAAGGCCCAGTGTCCATAAAAAAAATGATACCACATGCATGAGTCTATGTTATTGCAATATATCCTATGTGGAATTGCATACTTGTTGATTTGATGATGTTGTATTATATTATTTTTCTAATTGACAATGTTGTTGATTTTGATGCTATGATGTTATTGGCTTGTTCTACTATGCCTATTCCTTATATCTCTCATAATGAATGTGATTACTCACCCTTTTTGTTTGAACGTTGCCTCCACATGAATAACACGCAGGTGATCAGGAGTAGTTTATAGAGGCCTAGAATAATAGCTTGGAGTATGTTGTTCATTTTCGTTGAACTTTAGAAGGTCTTGCTCTGATATGTAGCATTGGGATCGAGAACATTTTATTTTTCAACCTTATGTGTTTGTTTGATTATGAGATTTTGAATCACCTTTCATGGTATTTGAGTTGTTATGAATTAAGAATTATGAACTAAGAATAATGAAGTTCTAATGGTGTTCTTAATAGAGGTTTCGAATGATTAGTTCCGATGCGAGTAGTTAAAATATTAATAGTTATTTTAAAAGAACACTAGTCTTCAATGATTTTGAAAACTCGTGTTGCGGAGTAAGAGATGCATGTATGTTATTTATGAAGCATGTGACACCCTTTGGTGAAATACTCTGATTATTTAACTATAATATTAGTTGGGAATTAGAAGGGTGTTATAGAAACAAGGAGAGAAAAAAACAAACGAAAACGCTAGTTCAAGTGGACAAGCAAAGTCATGAGAAACTAGGCCATCTGTACAGTCTGCAGGCCCAACTGGACCACATGTGAGTAATGCAGACCCATCTATGAATGTTGTTGGTGTTAGACAAAAAAGAAAAAACAGAAGACAAAAGCTAGGGAGCCTGAGGTTGTTAGGTCTCAGGGGTCGCAAGCTCCACAAACACAACTATCACAAAACTAAATTAGACTTAAGTTAGTTTTTTGGTTTAGGTGGATGCAATTTATTGATTTAATGTGCTGTCAATGTATGCTCCACAAACATAACTTTCTTTTAGCTAGAAAGAAGTTGGAAGCTTGAGCAAACACGAGGAGGGAGAAAACGACGAGGGAGATAGATTGGAAACCAATTTAGGAATTAGGTTTATGGCTTTATTTCAATTAAAATTCATTTTCATTTTAATTTTTTTGTTTTAATTTATGAAATGTTTTAATTGTATTTTTAAATAAAAAATTACAATTGTAATAACATATAAATGTTATTTTTCATATTGGCATTGTCACATAAGTGTTTATTTGTCATCTATGCATTTTTGGTGGGGAAAATGTGGGTTAAGACTATGTTTGTCCAGCCTATTTTTGATCATTTTGCAATCCAGCAGACATGCTTGCTATGTGTTATAGAAACTTTGAGCAGACATAGTCAAAGTAGGCAGTAACTTTCAAATGCTAGAGTCTGGCATAGCCTTGTTCAAACCAACCTTTACTTCTAAGATTTGTAAACGCATAATAAATATAGATATGAAATTAATAGTACTATACACCACCAAGTCATGAAGTTCACTTCTCACCCATTATGATTGAAAACGGCACTCAACTTAGAATTATAGACACATCCCTTTGTTGGTACACAAATTCAATGACAAAGCAGTGAATAATGACCTCACCCTTTAGGTAGCTAATGTTTGGTAAGATATTGTCCTAATCATTACCTAGTCCAAATGCATGTAACCACTAATTTTCTCTTTTTAAAATATATTTTTTGTTTACATGAATTTGGTTTCTTAATTTTAAATGATTTGATAGTTGAAGTTGGTGTGTAACTTTAGACTTAATATGATGACATAGTCTTGTACTTGCAAGGTAGTTACAATTCTTCAAATCAATGCGTGGGAACATGAAGAAAATGTCTCACATTAGTGGCAGTAAGTGGAAAAGTGTCACCTAAGTACCCACTTTGCAAACTATACTTTACCAACAATTTTTTTAATACTCCTTTACTTACTTTTTAACATCTTATTATGTTCAATTTTCTTCTCTTTTCCTAATTTTAATTATACAATTAACTATTATATTATCAACAATATCTTTAATATTATTGTTATTCAATATGTATAAGATGAACTACATCACAAAATGTTAAATTTTTAATAATTAAATTATAGTTAAATAAAATTTTATAATAAATTCGACACGTTTAAATCATAACTAAATAAATATTTAGTTATTTTATTATGATTGAAATATGACTAATTTACATATAACTTTAAAAAAATTTAACAGGATCATGATTTTTAATTATTTATTGTAGAGAGAAAAAGAATAAAATGAAATATTAAATAATTTTTAATATTGTTGATAATAAAATTTATTATTTGTTACGCATGGAAATAATTTTAGAGTGTATTTGATTTTGCAATGATAAAAGTTAATATAAAATTAATTAATTTTAATTAAAAATAAATTGAATGTTTAAATATAAATACATAAAAATGAATTGCAGGAGTAGTAAATTTGAGTGTTAAAATCATGTTTGTAGTCAAATGCAACATATCTATATTCAAATTCAAATCAATTTTATAAACACAATCATTCACAATGGATGTTATCAAAACTATTTTGGTGCTTAGAATCTTTTTGACCTCACTTTGATTGATAAAGATTAATTTTGAATAACTTTACTGTGAAAAACTAATTTGAACTAAAAGTAAGTTTTGAAAAATAATTTATGTTTGAATATATTTAATTAAATGTAATTTGAATAATACATTAAAATTAAATATTAACTTTGTAGTCAAAAGTTCCAAAAAAAATTCTAATCAAAAGTGAAGTGATGCCCTCTTTCTTTCATTAATTAAAATAAAATAAAAAGAAAAAGAAAAATTACAAAATTTGAAGGGACCAAACCAAAACTTAAAGTAGTCAACAATGACATAAATAACACATGTCTAGTTAAAAATCTTACTAAAAAACCCTACCATAAATTCTATGTAAAAGAAGAAGAAAAATGCAAAGGAAACAAAAGTTCAAACCATTAAGATAATAAAATATAAGCAAAATCGATAATAAAAAATTCAAACTTATTTCTATTAAATAATTTGAAATGAAAGAAAAGATGAAATACAACCAAATTATAATTCAAATTAATAATAAAAACAATTATATATATATATATATATATATATATATATATATATATATATATATATATATATATATATATATATATATATATATATATATTTAAAAAGAAACTAAAGAAATTTTTATTTATTGATTCATTTTCATATTTGTGCTTCAAGCTACAACCTATTCTAACATGATTTTCAAAAGCATACATCAAAGAAACCTAATAACATTGTTTAATTTGCCAATGTCAATATACCTACTTTGAGTAAATTACAAACTATAAACTTCTTTTTTTTCTCTTCAAACTATTTGTTTGTATATTAAACTTTAGGACTATTATTTTCAGAAAAAGAGGACCACAATTGAATACTACCAAAATCTAATTCAGAATCAGGCATTATAATATCATTGAAATCAAATGCATCATGAGGGTCAACTTCATAATTCTTTGGTAGAACCTCTTCCTTGTTCTTTGACTCCTTTATTTCACCTACTTCTCCAAATTCATTCTCAACAACATCTTGAATAACACTCTCTTCACCAACATTTGATTGATCATAAGAACCAATATTGTCAATAAAATTCCAAAGATCATAATCTGATTCCCATGGTATTTCAATCAAATTGTTTAGATTTTCCACATCTTCTAATATTTTGTCAATGTCATAAGACTCTAGAGAACTCAAATGTTGTTCTATTTTGTTGTCAACAATTTCGCTCGAGTTCAAGATTTTGTTAGACTCGATTGAATATGACAATGAATTCGATGACCCTTTTGGATCGCCATTGACGATAACATGTTTGTTGGAAACTTGTTTTTCCGACTCTCTTATTGGTGCCTCGTTTGATAAAATTGATTCGGATGAAGAGGGTGAGGTTATTGATGACTCTAATTTAGATTCATCTCCACTTGTTGAATCTGAACTTTTGATGACAAGTTTTTTCTTTAAATGTGTGTTCCACACATTCTTGATCTCGTTATCAGTTCTACCAGGCAGATATGATGCTATCTTTGACCACCTAAAATAATTTTTGTCGATATGAAATTAATTTTGAAATGAATTGATTTTATAAAATCAATTTTAAATAAAATCGTGTTAAATATAAAATGATTTTCAGTTCAACAATTTCATATAAAAATGTGTGAACAATTATAAATTTACGACTAAAAATCAATTATAAAATTCTCGACTTTTCATGACTCTTCAATTATTTATCTTTAAAAGATAAAATTTTGATCATTAAACTAAACTTATGTTAAAAAATTCTTATATAAATTATAACTTACTTGTTTCCCATAGCTTTATGTAACTTTATTATAGTTTCCTCTTCATCTACTGTAAAATTGCCTCTCTTTAAATCAGGTCTAAGATAATTGATCCATCTTAAACGACAACTTTTTCCGCATCTTTGAAGACCTAAATATTAAGTAAAGATAAAAAAAAATTATATGGGAGAACTAAATTAGATAATATCTAAACTAGTATTATAATAACTAAGTAAAAAATTAGTACATATTCATTCATCAACAAATATAAAACTTAAAAGGCATGATATGCAATTGCATGCTGTTTTACACACTATTCTTTTTATAATCAAATAGATTCAAAGCATTAACAATAAATATAATTGGTCGGAATAATTCATTAATAATTATTTTACTAAAATAATTGATACAAAGGATGGTGATACTCATTTTATTTTTATATTCTCTCTGATTTTATTTATAATTTTTTTATTTTTTAGATACCTTGAATAATTAATGTATTTAAATATTATATAGTTTAAATATATCTATAAAAATAATTTTATATATATAATGTTTTTGATAATGTTTGAGCGGATTAATTATTAGAAAACATAAAATTTGAAATACATGTTAGTTTCTTTTAAGGTAAAGTGTTAAGATTAAAGATTCTATACATGCACAATGACACATGATAAAAGGATATTACCAATAAAATGGATACCAATATTATAGTCTATTTTGTAATTATGATAATAACAATAGACAAATAGTAGGTAAATGTTTTTTCAAAAATGTACCATTCAAGATGGATGGCCCTCACATATGGTAGGTAAGATATGCATTATCAGAAGAACACAAGTCATGTAAAAACTTATTTGATTTCTTCTAACTATGATTTTATATGTCAGTTTAGGTAGAAATATGGTCCACATTCACTAATAATTATAATGTTTATGTTAACTAATTTAAATCAAGCTAAATTAGATTTTTGTTTGATTTTTTTACCTGAATCAAGCTAAATTAGGTTGTTTTTTTTTTTTTGTTTTTTTTACCTAAAATCGCTTATAAGATGACAATTCTTGATTACGATATAATTATATTTTTAGTTATAGTCGTGTTAGATTCAATTTAATAATTTATATTATACGATTTAATAAAGTTAACGCGTTTTCTTATTTTCTGCGTTTAATTAAATGCTTCAATTTAGTAAAAAATAATTAAATCTCAACATTCAATTAATTTAATTTAATTAAAAAAAATAGAAATAGGTGTGATGAATGATATGAAATACAAATGCATAAACATGAAGGTATCATAGATTGCAAGTTCTTTGAAGCAATACAAAATGCATGAGATCAAATACACAAAACTTGATTAAAAGCAATAAGTTTAAGGTAACTAGATACTTCATTTTGCAGAGAGAGAGAGAGGGAGAGAAACCTGCTTGTTTAGGGAGAGATCTCCAATTTTCATGACCAAATTTCTGAACAAAAGCAATAAGTTTAAGATCTTCAGCAGGGCTCCAAGGTCCTCTCTTAACTTGAGTCTTATCACAGCATGGTGCTCTTCCTTTTCCCATGATGATGATTCTTCTTTTATCAAATACAAATGCTATCTAATTTCTCTCTCCTACTATATACTATTTCATTATTTCATTTTTATAATATGATTCACACAAGTGTTCTCTCTCTGCTTATATATATATATATAGTAACTGATGTTGAAAATGATATAAACTTTACAATGAACCAACAAGAGTCACGCCACATGTTAGAATATTATGGGGCATGTATATGCAATATATAGAATGAAAATCAAAGAATGTATTCTTTTTGTTATTATAATATAATATCTATCATGGTTTTATGTTGTAATAAATTAATTTTATTTATTTTTGCTTTTTAGTCTTATAATAATAATATTTCTAAAATATCACGTATCTGTTTATAATAAAATAAAAATAATTAAATTTGACTCTAAAATTTTTTTAACTCAATAATTGCATATAATATATAAAATGAAAATAATTAAATTTAACTCTCAAAATTTTTTAATTTAATAATCGCAGAAAGAATTAAAACAATTGTAGGAAAATAAAACAGAAGGATTTGGTTTGCTAAGATAAATTACAATAATATAAAAAATAATTTAATTGTAATTTTAATTTTATTATTAATCTCTTATTTTAAAATTCACTTATTTTGGTCAATTTTTTAAGCGTCTTAATGCAAAAATAATAATGTCATGTGACATACAATTTATTAATTTAGAATTAATATTTGATTATTTCTTATGATTAATAGATTTATAAAATTAAATATTTTTAAAATTTAAAACTAATTTCAATAATTTATAAAAATAAATATTTTTAAAATAAATATATTGTATTATTTAAAACATATCACATTACTAATTTATAATATAAAAATTGAAAGAGACAAAAAATGAAAATTTAAGACTAAGAGAATCAATTCTATAAATCAATGAAAATAAAATAAAAAATAAAGATGCAATTGAACCAAACAAAGAAAATGTCACTTAATCAAAATAATACTTGTAAGAGTGGATAATACTTTATCTATATTAGCACTTTTTGAACTTTTAGACTTTCTTTATTTTAGAAAATGTCACTTATGTATGGGTTTTCTTTTGTAGACATAAAAAAAGTGAGGGAATGTAAATTGGATATTATATGATTAGTGATAATGTGGTGTATATGGTTGATTAGAAATGGTATATGTTTCAGGAATATGGATTAGAATGTGAATAATACGGTTTAGAGCATTAAATCTTTAGCTTGGAAATGGTCTTCGTGTGGTAAAATTACACATTTCAATTGTAGTTTCTACGAGTTCAGAAAGATCCCTTATTCTTCTTGTTATAGTTCGTAATTGATTTGTAATTTTCCCTTCTTTTTTTGTTGGTGGTGTTTTGACCACTTCTCGATGTAAGAGGTTTGAAGAACCCTTAGTTCTCCGTTTAATATAATCCTTGATTACACAAAAAAACATAAACAACTCATATTTTTTAATTTTTTACAAAATTAAAATATTAATTTATGGTTCTTTCTTTTGTGGCTAAAATATTCGTATTATTCTAAATAAATTAATTTAATCCACTTTTTTTTTGAAGCAAAGAATTTGATCTTTAATTTAAGAAAAAAACTTAGATCCAATTTTTATGTGTGATTTTTATAATTTTTTAATAAAAAATATGATAAGTCCTCTCATATATATATATATATATATATATATATATATATATATATATATATATATATATATATATATATATATATATATATATATATATATATATATATATATATATATATATATATATTTATTTTTATCTCTTAATCAATATTTAACGGGTTTTGGAGACCCGCGTTCTACCGAACTGAACTAAGAGCGCTTTATTTTCAGAAATAATTTTTTGTGACCCCAATACATCTTGCATGCATAATATAATTTTTCTTTTCTTAATAATAAAGAAGCCCTTGGCATAGAAGCTGTGAAAGAATAGGCTGCTGGAGGAAGAACCGCCCCAAAGCGGGAGAGAAGCGGAACGTAAAAAATTTCGGGGGGTTACAGATCGTTATTGAAAAATAATAAAAATCATATTTAAAAAATTGTATTTAAGTTTTCTATTTAGTTTAATCTATATTTATTATTTTGAAAGAAAAATTGATATTTTATTATTATTTAAAGATTACATAAATTTTTTTTACTGAGGATCAATTTGAGAACTTATTTCATTTATATTTTTTTCTTTCTTATATAAGAAAAAGTCTCTTTATAAAGTGTCTTATACCAATGATTTTGATTTTCGAGTATCTTTGTAAAATTTTAAAACAATAAATATATTTGTTACGATGTCACTTATCAGTTTAAATAATGTAAAAATATAAAATATAAAAAATAAAATAATTAAATTAATAGTCAAATTTTTAATCGGATACTCACAGAAAATATTAGACAATTGTGAAAAAATAAAACGGAAATTATTGATTTGTAAAAATAATTTGCAATAAAATAAAAAATGTAATTGTATTTAATTATTGATCCACTCATTTCAAAATTGATTAATTTTGGATCCATTTTCTGATTTCTTAACTAAACAATAAAGCATGTCACTTGATATACAATTCATTAGTTTAGAATTAATGATTAGTTATTTTCTATGATTAATAAAATAATAAAAATGAATATTTTTAAAGTTTAAAACTAATTTTTAAGAGTTTTTCTTAATAATTTTGAGTGTTGACGAGATCACATTAAATTATATATTATATATTTAAAATAAGACATATCATTAATTTTCAGTATAAAAAATTGAAAAAGACAAAGCATTTTTTTAAAACTGATGAAAATAAAATAAAATAAAACTACAATTAAACCAAACAAAAGATATAAAAAAGATATCAAAGTAATACCTATATAAGTGGATAATACTTCTATCTATGTTAGCACTTTTTGAACTTGTAGATTTTCTTATGTTAGCACTTTTTGAATTTCTAGATTTTAGCTCTTAAAATTCAAGTCATCTATACTTTTTATACGTTTACGATATAAAAAGTAAATATTCAATTTAGTATCTAAAAAAATACAAAATTCTTTTTTAATTTATACAAATTTAACGTATCAATTTAGTATAATTCATGCTTAATAAAACAAACATTAGCAAGATTTTTATCAACCAATAAGCGCAAACAATGCCTTCTTGCAGACCCTCAACACGGTTCCACCATTCCTATCTTTGACAGAGCACTTTCAAGAAGTGGTTCCTTCTGATGCATTACAGTTTAATCATTACAAATCAAAAAGTAACGGTTGGTATTCGACAAGATTTTTATTTTTAGGAAGTCATTAACAACTTTTTATCAACCTTCCGAAATCATCTTCTCATGTCTAATATACTTCGCCTATATTAAAGAGTCTTCAAGAGTGATCACATATACTTCTGGATACAAAGAAATATTCTCACAAGCTCTCTCTTATAAATTCATTGTGCTTTAACCTTGTGTATAAATCACAGTTGTGATATAGTTTTTCTAGAAACACTTTTGTACACATTTTTTATTCATATTTTGTAATACCTTGAGAAACTAAGTTGTGGTTAGTCTCAAGAAGACATTGATGGTAGACTTTCTGATTGTATAATCAAAGTTTTGATTTGTGGATTAATACCTCGTTTGAGAGAGACGAAATGACATTGGCAATATAAAGTGGAGGTATAAATTCAAAATTAAATCAAATAAATATTAAGTGGAGGTATAAAGCATAAAAGGCTTTTGTTTCTGATCTTTTGGAGGCCCAAGATCACATTGCAAACCGTGTGGAATTATTTTTTAAATCAAATCTTCATAGTTTTGTCTTATTTCAATCTATTTTCAAACAAAATCAAAAGATAGGTTTTACATGATGTCAAATCCCATCTCTTGACCTAATTATTCCCTATATATACCCTTCATATTCAGACCAAAGACATGAAAAAGTTAGGCAAGAAACAAGGTGTTGGAGATTGAAATTTGCAAGAACTAGGGAAATATTGAAGTCCATTATACAACCATCATCAAGGTCGACCATCTATTCAAATCAACTCCTGAGGTATCATAGAGTAAGTTAGGATCATTCTTGATGATCAAAAGTGTCTGAAACCTACATTCCATGCATCGCCAGTTTCATGTTTTTGTTTAAATTCGTATTTTAATTTTCATGATGCTTTGATTGAAACCTAACTATTCTAATGTGTTCCTGAGACAAAATAACACATATCTGATCCCTTACATGAAGCCCATAGCGTTAGGATAGCCTAGCACCATTGTTGAACTGATTGACCTTGTTCGTATCTCATTGTGCAGGACGATTTAGCCAAAACTAATGCCACCATTGGATTCGCAAGGATCGATTTAGGGGGATAAACTCTTTTTGATCTCTAACTCGTGCTATTTTTTGCAGGTACAAATATCATCTCACCGTAGAAGACGTTCGGAGCTAGGACTCCAGCGCCTCTTTGATCCACCTGTTTTTATATTATATTTAATGGTTTCTATTATGTAATCGGATGAGAGCGTAGCACTACTGGTCAAGACGAAGGTTTGTGAAGCCAAGGGGGTGGGTTTGATCCCTGTATTTGCAACATTTTTTTGTTATTTTACAACTAACACGCAGGTTTCCAATACATTATGCAGCGCCTGTTTCCAAACACAAGCGAGAGCTTGGCCTAATTTTACTCTTTAGTGGGTAGAAACTCTTAATTGCTTGCTCACAAACAAAATATTTTTCACACTACACTTTCAAACGAAATATTTTCCAAAACGCTTTGTATACATTCTTGAAGATTGATACAAGAATTATTATAAAGTCATTCTTACATTGGCAATTTTAAAATATTTTTAAACAACTCACATACACAAACCAAGATTTTCAAAAGTGAGCTAAGTAACTAAGAGTCTATAGGTAACTATGAATGAAAATAGTTCTTAACACCTTCCCTTTTCTTATCTTACCCCCCCCCCCCCCCCCCCCCCCCCACTCCCCCAAACTCAAAATCTATCAAAGGTTTTTTCTTGTTCTT